TCCTTTTCCTCTTCTCATTTCGGCTAACCTGCCTTCCATCTTCATCATTCGATAACATACAATATATATATATATATATATATATATATACAAGAAACCAACCAATTAAAAGTCTAAAGTGGGACCCGCCCAATAACCCATCACAATTTCCTCTCTCTCTTCCCATTTCACTGGTACCTTGCTGCCACCAACAGATGTTACATAATATATATTATATATATATAATATGTAACCCAAATACCAAATCAATTAAAATGAAACATTAATCTTCAATTTGGTAAGTCTCTAATTTAAAATAAAATAATTAATCTTGACAACTAAAAATCATAAAATAATTAAATTAAAATCTTTAAAAAAATCCGGGTTATCACAATCTCCACCATTTAAAAAAAATTTCGTCCTCGAAATTCAAATCCAACAGTCTTTGTATACCCAAAAACACTAATAACCACAAAACAAAATCCAAATCCTTGGTTCAGGTGATGTGAGATACCGTGATATGTAGGACGTTGTGGTAGCTGCTAGTGCTAGTCACCCACCCACACACTCCGTAATCGTTTTGGTTGCTAGTCGATGCGTCACTCGCCCACTAAAAAAAACAATAACAAATCCGGGCTACCTGCCCAATCACACTAACCAACCATCCCAGTAGCTCCCAATGAACGCCATCCGTCCACACACACCCGGTTACGAGTAATAGCTAACCAGTACTATACACTCGCCCACTCACACCCGTCTATATCATCACTACACTCACACTTCCGGCTGGGTACAAGCTCTGATACCATTTTGTCACGACCCGAAAATTCTAATAAAATCCTCAATTTATATAAATCCAAATACATCAAAATACACTCATTATCAAAAAAATAAAATAAATAAATAAATAAAAATAAAAACCCTCTTTTATATAAAGTCAATTTCCTCAAATATACACAAAAATTCTCTAAATAAATAAATAAAATCTTGCAACGCCGACTCTTCCACCTAAGCTTGAATCTAGCAATTCCCGTTTATCTTCGGTACTTGAAACTAGAGGGTGGTGAGACAAAAGTCCCAGTAGAAAAAACTATAATAAGAATTTCATACAGGTTTAACAAAACTGCTTAACAAAATATACATATTCATGTGAGTATATAAACAAAATAAATATGCATTTAATTAAAAGATTCAATAAAAACCATTAAAGCACAACTACCCCATGCCATTTAAGGTATAGAGAACCCTACATTGAAAAAGATTAATTTCTCACTGAATCATCAAGTCTCAAGCCTTCGGCCTCCTCTGCAACTCTCGGCCCTCTCTCTCTCCCCTCAAACTCGGCCCCCTCTCTCTCTCTCTCCTCAAAATCGGCCTTTATGTCTCTCTCTAAATTTCTTTTTTTTTAGCTGACTAAATTCACAAGACATATACCATATATAAAGGCAATCCACCGACAATTTCCTATACATTAGACCAAACCCACGTGAACAATTCAAGGTGAAAAACTTTTTGCCCAACAAAATCTCTTCGTGGGTCGTCCCACCACCATGTATCACAATTTCCATCGTCACATCATTTCCTTTTCCTCCTCTCATTTCGGGTAACCCGCCTTCCATCTTTATCATTAGATAACATACAATATATATATATATATATATATATATATATATATATGAAACCAACGCATTAAAAGTCTAAAGTGGGACCCGTCCAAGAAACCATCACAATTTCCTTTCTCTCTCTTCTCATCTCGCTGGTACCTTGCTGCCACCAACAGATGTTACATAATATATATTATATATATATAATATGTAACCCAAATACCAAATCAATTAAAATGAAGAATTAGTCTTCAATTTGGTAAGTCTCTAATTTAAAATAAAATAATTAATCTTGACAATTAAAATTCATAAAATAATTAAATTAAAATGTTGGAGTGGGATGCAGGTGGAAATGGGTAACTCCCGCAATACAAAAACCCATGGGACTAGGGGCATTTGCACTCCGACATAGAAAATGATATTGGTATGACACGCGACTTAGTTAATTTGTGCAATGACTCTCCTGTGACTAGCACATGCCCTACCTCTATAAATAGAGCACTGTGTTCTGACGCGATGGATCATCAAGGCCCTAATTAGATCATTCCTTTTCTGGCTCTCATTATTTCCCTTCTCTCACTACTTTCCCTCTTTGATATTATGATCAACAATGAGAGTAAGTCAATCTTTTAACTTTGAACTAAGTCATTTTTCCTTGAAAAAGTTACAATTTAACTTTTTAACTTTCTTGTCAGAGAAGGTGTAACTTAAATATATAATCCTTCAACAAAACTAATGTAAACTGAATTAGGGAATCATACACATATATAAGACACACTAAATATAATAGGTTAAGCTAGCATACTTGTGAAGCATTAACAAACTCAGCAGGAAGCCAAAAAATGAAGAAATCCAATATCTTGCTTTTGATCAGTGTTAGATTTGAGAGAAAAGAATCTGATCCCTCTTTGTATGTTCTTCCACTTTCTCCATTTTTGCTCAGACGACTATATAGCTAGACTAACCGAATTAAGCATGTATGTGAGAGGGGATGACAAGATTCCTCCCATCAAGGAGTCTATCAGATCGATCACCCCATCGTGTGTAATCCGGAGTCGAACCATAAACTTAATACTTCCTAAGGCACCAGGTCAACTGACCGACTTGAGCCAACCCCTTGAAATTAACCTTTTTTTTTTTTTAGGGTGACAATGGTTAGTAGTTAGTTTGGGAATTTTTTAGGGTGGCAATGGTTAGTAGTTAATTTGGGGGGGGCGGGGGGGATCGAACTTAAAATCAATAGGTTGGGAGACATTTTAAACCCGATCCTTTATCACTCGAGTAACACCGCCACATTTTTTAGAGACACTGTGTTTGTGGTCTTTTTGCACAAAAGTGGTTTATTAGTCCTCGGTCCTTACCCAAAAAAATAAAATTTGTGACTAGTTTAAAAAAATTAAAAAAAAAACATGTGAGCCCAAGCTGCAAGTGTAGTAACTAATGCCTATTAACTATACACCCTCTGTGACCATGCATAGTGTGTATCAGACGTTTTGTCGAACCCGCCACCTCATATCACACAAGCTCAAGCATGCACAAAACAAATGCTTTCCCTTCAATGGTACCTCTGATAGTATGTTTTCACAACCCACATAAAATGTCTCTCTCCGTTTTTTTTTTCTTTTTTCAAGCAAATATACAACCATGAGCTGGACCACTCAATCAGTCAAATCTCTCCAAAGAAGAAGAATAGCTTATACCAACTTATAGTAGAGCCTATCGATAACCCACATGCGATGTCCATGCAGTGTTAATGGTATGATCCTGATTGACAAATTATTCACAAATGTAGAAAATGACCTATATCAAATATAATATTATATAACTAAATTGGCAATAGCTAGCCCAAGTAGGTACAAACCCTCCTTCCCCAAAAAGAGGTGGGGGTGATACACCAATATTCACTATAGATGTATTATATATTATCATATAAATATGTATTCTACATATATATAAGAATCTTTAAATCTGATATGCACCAATATTCACTACATATTACATATGTATTATATATACTATGATATACCTAAAGAAAATGAACATATTACTTCAAATAAAACGACTACTTTCAAAATAAATAACTCATTCCATCTTCTTGCAAATAGAAACTTGTAGAAATTCTAATACAATTATCTGCAGGCATATATAAAAAATAAATACCCAAACATTTTTTGACTCACTTCAAGTGGGTCACTAATGGGTTAATAACTTACCGAATATTATTAACTAACCCGTTCAAAACCCGCACAATTGTCACCCCTAGTATCACCTAATTTTAATAAATCAGTATACATAAATACAAGTGTAAGGATACTACACCTTTACAACGATCTCATATAATAAAATAATAATAATAATTAAAATTCCATAATATACTCATTAAATTCGTTATCACATGATCCCCGCTATTAGGTGACAAAAAAGTAGAGATAAATAGAACATTGGAAAGCTAAGAGGATTATATTACGGTTGAACGACCTTTTTTTAAAGTTAGCCTACTTTCTATTAAAGTGAGCCTACTACAAAGTCCATCTTTTTTTTAGTTAAAAAAAGAAAAGAAAAGAAACAAAATTCAAATCCGGCCCAAATGAAGTCATTTTCAAGATTGAAATGAAGCCCATGCCGAGTCTGCCATCTAGCCCATTCCATGCCCACGACCCGAATCCCAAAGCCCAAGGACCGGACATGGGTTTGTCAAAATGCTTCTCACCTGACCCATTGACCAGGCCAAGATCAGTGGGCTGGCCTGACTTGGGTTTCTCAAAATGCCTTCCCACCTGACCCATTGAACAGTCCAAGATTAGTGGGCTCAGGCTTGGGCAAGCCTCGGTTTCAAATAATTGGGGCCCAGGTCGGCAAATTATGCCGAAAGGATTTTTTCAGGATAAGAACCTATCCCTAATCTTATAGTTGAAATGAGGCAGAGTTAAAATTACTATGAAGACGATATTATCATATTTATTAATGTCACAATGACATTATCTCAACGATGATATTATCTTAACTTATAGTATCTTCATCTCATAATAGTTGTCAATTTTGTAAATTTTGACTCACTATCACTTTTTATTTTTGAATCATTTGAGGTCATTTTAGTCATGTTCCTTTAATATATTATATATTACCTATATCTCATACTAGAGGTCTATTTCCGTCACTTTGACTCACAAAAATTGTGAGTCAAAATTTTTAACTTGACAACTAATATAAGAAGGAGGGAGTATAAAATAATCGAATACATCCTATTTTCAAACTTTTATACTTGCTTGCTATTTAAAATTTAAGCGGAAAGGAATATAGATAGTTTCTCAATTTACTCAAGAAAAGATACACCTGAGTAAAGAGACCACAGTTCTCTCTTTTTCTTCATTCAGAGCTTCACTTGTCTATCAAAAATCCAACTGAAAGGAACGGAAACTACTTGCTTGGCCCTTCCCTGAGCTCTTTCCTCCAGCCTTCTAATTTTGGAGCTAAACCACAAACATAATCCTGAGCCTTCCGACCCTCCCCCGAAAGTCCAGTACTGATCTTCTCCACATTCCATCTATCAACCAAACACTCCAATGTATCACCATAGTCCTTGGTAGTGTACACACCCAGTCGCTGTGCAACAGCCGAGAAGTGCCTGAAAAGATCATCATCACGTCCATCATAAATCCAGTGGGCTGGCATGGCTATCTTCTTCTTCATCATGTCGGCGAATGCCACGAGACTTCCATCAGGATCAACCTCAAAGAGCTTCTCCATTATCATGGTGTAAACAGTTTCGTGGCGCTTTTCATCGGAGGCAAGGCCGACTCGAGCCTTAGGCGAGTTAGGCGGTTGCCTAAGGCCCAGCCAATAAGAAGGCCTCATAATTTTTTTTTTATTTCTGTATATATTATAACTTTCTTAAAACAATTATAATATTTTCTTTAATTATTAAAATTCAAAGTATAGAGAAATTTGACAGTTGACCTAAAACATTTCTATTCTTTATTTTTTTTTTTTTTTGCGGCCCCCAAATTTTTTTTTCTTTATACATTATAATTTACCTAAATATTTTATTTTCTTATATCATTAAACCTCAACAAATACAAAATTTAATAGTGTGTGCAAAATATTTCTATTCTTGTATTATCTTCTTTTATTTTATTTTATTTTATTTTTTTTCATCCTCATTACATCAGCATATATACACAAACATTAAAATTAAATATTAAATATATATTTAAGTGAAAATTGATGAAACTTTCTATATTTTTTTAAGAATCCTATTAAATTTTATTTTCTCTTTTTTATTTTATTATTATTATTATTATTATTATTATTTTTAATTCCTCACATATTTTTTCTCCTCTCTCATTATAATTTTTTTTTTTCATCGTCACCACAATTACAATTTACAATCTTACAATCTCACTCTAGAAAAAGATTTTGAATATACTTATATTCTATTAAAGAATTTATTGGAGCATTAGACCAAATTATTCGAAATCAATTTTTATTATTCTATAACTTAAATTAGTTTATAGTTTTATTAATTTTTGTTATCATAAAATTATATATTTTGTTTATAATTTTTATTTATATTGTTAAATATGACTATTAGAAAGCATATAGCCAATTAATTAATGATAAAACTAGAGTTTGAAAAAATTTTAATGATAGGTTTAAAAATCACTAAACAAATAATTAGCTGGCATAAATATATAAATAGATTTAATTAAAATGCCACTTTATTTTTTTTCGCCTAAGGCCTCGTAATGTATTGAGCCGCCCCTGATCGGAGGCTATGGTACCACATATCTCAGCCAGACTTGTGTCCCCATATTGTTTGGCAAGCCTAGCTGTGTCACCATGAGATATAAAGGTTGCCCTCTCTTGGAATGAGGTGTAAATGAACCCTAGGTAGGGATTATTTTCTGTCTGTATGTCCTATATATATATATATATATATATATATATATATATGTCAGTGTAGAGCTACGAATTTCTCTTAGGGCCCAATAATGAACATGATAAAATAAAACCAAAAAATTTACTAGTTAAGTAACATGACAATTAACAATGCAATGTAGCAATATACATAACATGCAAAAAAAAAAATACATGCAGTACCTAATGGTGCAATTAAGATTCAAATAGTATGCCATTTTTTGTAAAACAGGGCATTCAAAAAAAAAAAAAATCAGAAATACAATAAATTTAAACAAGAAGATAATTTTTTTAAAAAAAAAAAAAAAAAAAAGTGTCCCTGCTCGTACGTCATACAGTGCAAGAAGAATAAATAAAAGAGAAAAAGTAAAAGAAGAAAATAAAAAGAAAAATGAGAAAACTTTGAAGGGAAAAGAATTCAGTTAATCTTCTGGGAAAAAAAAAGAAAAAAAAAAAGGTTTTGTTCAAAGACGAGGAATGCAAAATCTTTTGAGGGGATCAATGAAATTAGAAGAAGAAAAGAGCAAAAGAGAGAAGAAAAAATGAATTCGAAAAAATTATATATACTTGTCTTGTGCATGCATATATATGTGTGTGTACTGTAATTAATTTGAAATGCAAACATAATGTTAAGTATCTCACCATTCCAAACCCAATGAGATACTGAACTGTTTTCTCAATTTGCTTCATGTCAACTCTTCCAGAGAGATAGAGATACTTGTTGAGGAGGTCACCGTGCCTGTTCTCTTCGGCAGTCCATCCCCTAACCCAAGTTGCCCACGAAGTGAGGCTTGAACACGTTTCGTCCCGAATTCCGTCAGTAGTATTAAACATTGATTGGTAAGTTGGAAGGGCTTCTTCTGTGATCATGTCTCCAACCAACATAACAAAGTAGTCATCCGGGATCTCTTTGGCCCTCTCTCTTAGTTCCTTCACTTGCTTGGTGAATTCGTCGGGCGATGTAGGGTCTGGCAAAAAATCCTGTGGTTGCCAAGATTTCTCAACTGATTTTAGGTGAACTAACATTGTTCTTAGCCCAACCATCCAGGGATTTGAATATCTCTTGCTTTTCTGGGGGCATAGAATGTGTCACTTGAAAACGGGGCTCTTGATGATCAAGGGTGAATTGCTTCTTCAGCAAACCAAACTTCCTGAATTAAGTTGGAGTTGCTAGGGTTATTAATGGTAAATGTAATGTAAACATTTATTTCATAGACAGTGACGTTAATGGTAAATGTAATGTAAGCATTTCTACTACTGTAATACAAACGTTGGCCCAAGAAAATTGATGACTAGTTCTTGTCTCTCTGTATAGTCCAGAATTTTGGAATAGACATCCAATTAATCAATTGAATTAACATTCTAAGACCCAGAGCATAATTAGCCTTAAAAAAACTTTCCCTCAACCGATCGAGATGGGATTCTATGATCTGACTAGTTTACATCTCATCATTATGCAACTTCCTCCTCAATTTGCTTTATTTATTTATTTTGGTTGGTGTATACTATAATTTAGGGTGAAATATCAACCTCGATCCCCTGAAATGTGTCCAAATATCTTTCAGCTGAAAGTATTATCAAAATAGCAACTCATCTCCTTTAAGGTTTGTTCAAATATTTCTCAACTAAAACTATTATCAAAATAGCCTGACCTCCGATCTCCTGAGATTTGTCAATATAATCCTACTCTGACCACCCCTAATGTTAATTAATGAAATTTTTTAAAATGCCCAAACTACCCTTAAATGAGAGAAAATGACCTTTTTAGAATACCAAATGACCATTTCAACAAAATTTAATTGGACAAAACTAACTTTTCTTACATCTACTATTTTGGATTGGTTTTGCCGAGTTGAAAATTTTTTTTGTGGGCAGTTGAAGACAATATTTTTTTAAACAAGCGGTTTGTTTATAAATCAAAGGATGTATTATTATTAGCCAATGTCTATTTTGTTAAATTATATGAATTATTTATTGAATACTTTGTTTTGACAACAAATTTGTTGAATTATATACTAAAATAGTTATTTGATATACTACTAACAAGGTCATTTGAGCCATTTTCTCTCACTTAGTGGTAGTTTAGGCATTTATAAAATATTCCATTAACAAAGGTTTAACTCGTACATATTAGAGAATTTAAATTGGACAAACCTCAAATGGTATTAAAGGCTATTTTGACAATAATTTCAACCGGGAGATATTTGGACAAACCTCGAAAGATGTCAGAGATATTTCACCCAAAAATTTATCTCTTAGATATTTCGGAAAATCAAATTTCACCATATTTTCGTTCACACTTCTTATTTGTTGTATACATAAGACTCATAGAATATCTTGACAAAAGTCCATTGTCAAAAGTTTCAATACCTCTTCTTGTTTGAACGTGGAGAGCAGAAAGTTTATATATTATCAGTTACAAACCTTCACTTTGATCCCATGATGCCACAGGCTACATTAAGTGCATCATGAAGTTAATTTTTCGTCCAATATTTCGTTGAAGTTAATTTCTCCTAAATTTTAATGTTTGGTTGTCAAGAAAAATTAGGATATATTGGTGCCATAATAACGCATCCATCAATTTGCTTCCAAAAGTGCTGAAGTTTGAGGTTGTGTAAAACCAGTTTGGGCTTTTTTTTTTTTTTTTTTTTTTTTTTTTTTTTATTTTTTATTTTTTTTTTATTAAAAGTTGATATTCGCACACCCTCTTCTACATATACACTCCAATTTAAAAAATAAATGACATTTTTAACATTAAGTTCACATAGCAATGATTACTCTTTTGAATTAAACAACTACTCTTACACATATGTTGATCCCCTCTCTCTCTCTCTCTCCTATCTTTTATTTTTTCCATCTCTTTTGACCAGACCCAAAAAAAAAAAGAATTATAAATAAATTGTCTGCGTTGTCATGACATTAAAAAAAAAAAAAATTACACCTGTAATAAAAGAAGTATCTTTGTTGTATAAATTATCTTTTTGACAATATCTCAGAAAACGGTTATTTGTGTTGAATACATTATTTCTTTTAACAAGATCAAAAAAAATATATATATAAAAAAATAAAAAAATAAAAGAAATAAGTTATTCCTATTAGATAAACTATTTCTTTTGACAAGACAAAAAAAATTAAAAAATAAAAAATAAAAAACTAAAGAAGTAAATCTAATTGTCACCTTCCAAGCCGACTTGTCTTCTTTCTAAAAATTAATTAATATTACCAATACCACTCATAATAAAAATAAATCACCTGCTAAATAGACAGAAAAAATTAATTAATAAATATAATGTAAAACATGATAGGAAGGAAATGAATCAAACAAAGGGAAAAAAAAAACTCACCCCGAGTTTGAGAGGAGATTGGAAGCCATGGAGATATTGGAATTTGTGAGACGGCGGGCCATTGGCATGCGAGCAGAGGAAGGGAGTTTTAGAGATTGGAAGTTACTACTGGAATTGAAAATCACAGCCATTCTCTGTTCACTGTTTCCTCTTTTCTTCTCTCACTTAATTCACTTAACAAAGAAATGGTAAATGAGAGAACATAAAGACTTGGAGGAAAGAGAACCAACTGGGGTCTAATTTGTAGACAAAAATGTGATCAGTTCTTGTTTGGACTTGAGTCTATGGCACTATATATGGAGATACCACACTAAGTGCTTAGTGCATGAAGAGAATTAATTTTCACATTGCCATTTCATTTTCCAACTGTAATTATGTCACACCTCCTTTTTTTTTATTATTATTATTTTTAACACCACTTCGTGGCATTTAGCAGTGTCGAAGTCGTCTGTTGAATATCTATTAGAGTAATGCTATCCATAGTGTTCTCGGTGACAAAAAGCCGTAAGTTTTCTACATTTAATCACTCATTTGAGACCCTTTTTTAAGGTATTTGAAAAGTCTAATGAATTATTTAATACATTTTTCAATACCATGATTGAATAAGAAGAGTTCATGATACAGAATATTCGACTAGATAAGAATTCCAAGTGATATGCAGACTCAAAAGGCATGGATAAATTTAAGGAGATAAGGTGACCATCTCATAAGGTAATTAAATGATAAGATTTGATTAATTCAAAGGTTGCACTAAAGATACGATTAACTAATCCCTTCTCTCTTGGAAGGAAATGTGGAAACGACAGCTTCAACTTTTTATAAAAATGAGGCCAGTTAACAGAAAAAGGTACGTTATAAATCCCTTATTTAATGCTTGATCGGAGATGGGATTGAGGAGGACTAACTTGATTGTCGGAGTGCACCCGACTGGCACCACGTCGGTCATCTCTTTTCTCTTGTCTTGCAAGAATCGTCACTGGCTCTAGAGTGTGTAGATTTTTGCATCAACAGTTGGCGCCGTCTGTGGGAAACATAGAGATATCAGAAAAATCCAACTCTGGGTTCCACAACAGTACAACACACTTCATCCGCTAGCACAATCGCCTACCCTTATCCTTGGTTGCCATCACAATGGTTGGCACAACCATGAAGTCTCTAATCAGATGTACCAATTGCTTGGTATTGTGCATCTATCTACGGATTAGAGGCATAGCCGTGGAATTAAAGAAAACACTAGATGCGTCATACTAGACTCTTATATGCAAACATGTCTAATGAGACTGTCGATATCGATGCAGCTCAAACACTTCGTCGAAGAATTAGACACTCACGAATTCGATCACCTCTGACGAATTGAGAGCTCCGGTGACTAGCTTGAATGTCAAAGAGCTCATGGCAGACACCACACCGGTGTTGTCAAGGTTCATTGTTTCTCTTAATTTGTAGGAAACAATGTCATTCTGGATTGTGCAGAATCTCGCTTCAAGTAAAGTATTCCCTACTTGGGTCCGTTGTTTCAAATAATGCTTTATCATTTTGATATGTTAAGATATTCATGTTAAATAGATGAGCTAAGTGAAGCTCATAGTAATCTACTTCCCTTATTTAAGGGTGAGCTGAGTGAAACTTGTATTAATCTACTTACCTTATTAAAAAGATGAGCTGAGTGAAACTCGTGTTAATCTACTTTTCTTATTAAAGGGACGAGAGGCCGACTACACCTTATTAAAGGTTTTCTTATTAAAAGGATGAAAGGCCGACTACACCTCATTCCTTATTAAAGGGATGAAAGACCGACTACACCTTATTAAAGGGTTCCTTATTAAAAGGATGAAAGGCCGACTACACCTCATTCCTTATTAAAGGGATGAGAGGCCGACTACACCCTATTAAAGGTTCCTTATTAAAAGGATGAAAGGCCGACTACACCTCATTCCTTCATTAAAAGGCGAGAGGCCGACTATATCTCATTTCTTTATTAAAAGGCGAGAAACTGATTACATCTCTTTCCCCCGTAAAGGAATGAAGGGTCAACTTCATTTTCTTCCCTCGATAAAGAGACGAGGGGCTAACTACTCCTTATTAAAGGGTGAGCTCACAAAGCTCGAGCAAATCCACTCCCTTATTAAAAGGGGCAAGAAAGTAATCATCAAGCATGCTTAGCTTGGAAGGACTTGGCATTCCTAAATCTTGACAAGTAAGATTTCGGAAATGGGGAGCTACTGATACGGAATATTCGACTAGATAAGAATTTCAAGTAATATGGAGACTCAAAGGGCATGGATAAATTTAAGGAGATAAGGTGATCATCTCATAAGGTAATTAAAGGATAAAATTTGATTAATTCAAAGGTTACACTAAAAATACGATTAACTAATCCCTTCTCTCTCGAAAGGAAATGCAGAAACGACAACTTCAACTTTCTATAAAAGTGAGACCAGTCAACAGAAAAAGGTACGCCATAAATATAATATTTAATGCTTGATTGGAGATGGGATTGAGGAGGACTAACTTAACCGTCGGAGTGCACCCGGCCGGCACCACGCCGGTCATCTCTTTTCTCTTGTCTTGTAGGAATCGTCACTAGTTCTGGAGCGTGTAGATTTTTGCATCAACAGTTCATGACTTTTGTCTGAACTCTTCTAACATCATTATCAGTTCTATTATTAGAATTAATCTAACCTCGAATGAATTTGTGAA